GAAAAGCCAATTTAAAATTCATATGAAATGTGAAAGGGTTCCAAACAACCTTAAAATGGAATAGTTGGAAGACTTTCATTTACTTATTTCAAAACTTATACTACAAAGCAACAAAAATCAAAATTATGATACTAGCATAAGGACATACACACCAATGGAATAGAACTGGGAAAAACACACACACATATAGTCAACTGGCTTTCATAAGAATACTAAGATCTTTCTATAGGGAAAAGAATATTCCTTATCAACAAGTAGAATTGGCACCTGATTATCCACTTTTACATCATATGAAAAAATTAATCTAATTTCACCACATACAAGAACTAACTCAAAATGGATCAGGAACCTAAATTTTAAGAGAAAATACAAGGCAAAAGTTTTTTGACATTGGTTTTGAGGAGATCCCTTTAATATAACACCAGAACAACAGACAACAAAAGCGAAAACATAAATACCACTACCTAAAAATTTAAAACTATATTTAAAGAACACTCAAGAGGGTACAAAATACAACCTATAAAATAGGAAGAAATATGTATAAATCTTATATCTGAAAAAAGTTAATATCAGAATATATAAAGAACTCCTATTACTCAATAACAGGACAAATAACAATTTAAAAACAGGCAATGGATTTGAATAGATATTTCTCCAAAAATGATATGCAAACAGCCAACAAGCTCATGAGTAGATGCTCAACTTCACCAATCATGAGAGAATGCGAACCAAAACTACAACGCAATGACAGCTCTTACACATTAGGATGGCCGCTATTAAAAGAAAAAACAGGAGGCACTGTAGGTATAGCTTGGTGGCAGAGTACACGCTTAGCATACATGGGGCCCCAGGTTCAATACTCAGCTCCGAAAACATTAAAAAAAAAAAAACAGAAAATAACAAGTGTTGCTGAGGATGTAGAGAATGAAAACCCTTGTGCACTGATATGAATATAGAATGGTGCACTGAGGTCGGGGGTTTAGCTGAGTGGCACAAGTGCCTGCCTGGCAAAAGCAAGGTCATGAGTTCGATCCCAGGTACCAAAATAAATATAAATAAAATAAAATAATATGGTGCAATCACTATGGCAAACAGTATGTCAGTTCTTCAGGTTGAAAACAGCCTGGCACCCTGGTTTACACCTGCAGTCTTAAGCTATTCAGGAGGCTGAGGCAACAGAATCACAAGTGAAAGACCATCCTGGAAACTTAGCAAGACCTTACCTAAAAAAAATAAAGAGACCTGGGGATACAGCTCAGTATTCCCTGGGTTTCAATCCCCAGTACTATGGAGGAAAAAAACTGAAAACAGAATAACCAGATATTCCAACATACTTCTAGTGATATGTCCAAAAGAACTAAAAGCAGTAACTCATATACAGTATTTTACAGCAGCATTATTCAAAACAGCCAAAAGGTAAAAGAAGCCCAAGTGTCCAATAAAGAATAAACAAAATCTGGTATATACACACAATGGAATATCAACTTTAAAAAGGAAGAGGGGAGAGGAAAGAAGGAAAGAGAAGAAAACAGTTTTCCCAAGTACTATCCTTTTTGAACTAAAAAATATGATTTCACAGAAAGCACATCATCCATAATTGAGAGCAAGTGTTTGATCCTCTCTGTTGTCACAACAGTTCATTCAGTTATTTTTCTACTGTAGAGTGACTACCTACCTCCCTTTAAGTGGGAAAATAATGTGGCACCAACTCAGTAGAATAAGCCTCACTGACTTAAATCACTTATTAATAAGAAAGTAGACAGCAAGAATTTTCTGGGTCTAAGAGATTAGATGCTTTCTACAGCCTATTTCCCAGCTATTGTGAATGGATGTACAGTCCCAGCTAATCATAAAAAATTATACTCTTACTAGAAATTGAATACTAGCTATATTCAAACCTTTTACAGCATTTATATAAATGATAAATGTGATCAATAAAACAACAAATATTCTACAATTGTACAAGTTTTCTTGTTTTAGTGAAAATTTTTTAATTTTCCACAAGTTTAGCAGGTAAGATTATACAATTCTTAAAAAGATTATATAGTTTTTCCTGAAAGACACAGCGGGACCAGCATAGTGGGGCACACCCAGCATCCCAGCACTTGGAAGGCTGAGGGCAGATGGATCACCTCAAATTCAACGTTAGCCTACACTACAAACAAAAAAAAAAGGAAGAGGAGAAAGGAGGAAGAGGAGGAGAAAGAGGAGCAAGAGCAGAAGAAGGAAGAGAAGGAGAAGAAGGAGGAGAAGAAAGGAGAAGAGGGAGGAGGAGGACAAGGAAGAGAAGTAGGACGAGGAGGAGCTAGTGGTGGAGGACATGGAGAAAGAGGTGGAGGAGGAGGAGGTGGTGGAGGAGGAAGAGGAGGAGAAAGGATGAGGTGGAAGAGGAGAAAGAAGGACGGAGAGGAGGGAAAAGGAAAAAGAGGAATAAGAAGAGGAAGAGGGAGATGAAGAGAAAGAAAAAGAAACAAAGACAGACAAACCAAACAATGGCCAGCAAGTTTCTCAAATTTTTATTGGAAAACAATTTCCAAAATAAACCTCAAATTATTAAAGCAAGGAGAAAAAGGTAGACTTAAAATAACTAGTATATCCTAAAAAAAAAAAAAACCTCAAGCAACAATTCTTAACTTGTTTATAAACTTTTATCTGTTTTTGATTACTGCAATATACTGTGTTGTTGACACAAAATAGAACTCAAAATCAATTTCTTTTGAATTTAAAATTATTTTTTATTTTTATTTTACAAAAAAAGTCAAAGCTAGTTTTATTTGAACACCAAAAAAGAATGAAATTCTCCCCATTCCAACTAACTAAACACAAAATGATTACAAGTTGGAAAAGTCTGATGATCAGTTACCAAAATCCACAGGAGAATCTTAAATGTTAGCACTACATGTAGTGCTAACAGTAGTGCTGTTAGCACCACAAGTCAAAAGTTTCTCTTGGTTTCATCTACTTAAAACCAGAATGCAAGAAACAACCTAAGTCTTGGGGCTTTAGCCTTCACTGTGAAAGTTCTCTTGCAAAGATTTTCTCTCTGAGCCCCTATCCAGAAGATGCTGAAGATCTAGGTCCCTTTCTTCTTGCAACTAGCCAGAGACAGCTGAGTATGGCCTATGAGGTCCTAAACTTTAGTCAAGGCAAGTGTGAAATAGGCTGCACGGCTTCTAAGCATTAAAACCATCATGGAATGCCTAGAAGGCTGTGACGCTGGAGCACTAGTGCAGAAAGTCACGGAACAGAGAATCCAGAACCAGAATTCCTTTTGTCAGTAGCATGCTTTAAGGGGCTTCAGCTACACAGCGAATTTTTTGTGCTTCAAGTTGGGGATTTGCCCCTTTGACTTCAGCCTTCAAAGAGCCTCCCTCATATGTTGTAGCAGTGGCGTTTCTCCCCACTTTTCACATACAGCCAGTGCTGCTTCCACCACCTCCAAAACGAAACCTTGGATATACTGGATTGGGCAATGACGACATTGTGGGACACAGAGGCGCTGGTGATGGGCTAGATGAGCCTTTTAATGGCTGCTTTAGGAAAAGCTGACCAATGATACATTTCATAGCAGTTTAGCAGCTCCTCTGAAAAAGAAGGATTTGCAACTTCTGAAAATCATCTTCATCTACTTTCTGCTTTTCTTTTCTTGGGTCCCTATGTTCAATTTTTTGGCTGCATGACTAAGTAACGATGTGCCTTCCCTTTCACTTGGTTCTAACTCTGAGACATTTTGACTCTTGAGCTTGCCTTCCTCTGCTGTGGCTTCTTTCAAGTTCACATTCCAGCCACCATCAGTTTTCCCCAGGACTGCATCTGTGTCTGCATCCCTGGTACCACAGGAGCAGAAGTCATCTCATCTGACTACCCTGTCTTTCCACCTTTGTTGGTGGGTAGCTCTCAGGCACTGTCCATTATAACATTTTATTTTAAAAATCATATGTACTACACAAGAAGACAAATTCATTTTTGAACTTGTATACCATAATTGCTTGCAAATATTCTTTTCATATATTTGTAGCAGTGGCGTTTATATAAAATATACACAATTTTAAAATTCTTTATCTTAAAAGTAATACAAACTATGACATTATATTTTCCAAAGATGCCTGGCTACAGTAGATTCCATCTCATATTTGATGTGGATGTTTCTTACTTCAAGTGATAGGAGCTTACCTAAACCTGGACAAGCATTCATAACTACTTCAACCAATAGGACAAAGTAACATCATGTGACTTTCAGAGCTAATTCCAATATGCTATGCACCTTTGTCTTCCTTTATTAGAATGCTGTCTTGGCACCCAGCCACCATGCTGTGAAGAAGCCAAGCAGCCACAAGGAGAGATGTCTTGTAGGTGTTCTGGCCAGCAGCCCAGGCTGAGGTCCTGCCAACAGCCAGAATTAACCACCAGAAATGTGAGTGAAAGAGCCTTCAAATGATTCCAATTCCCAGCCACTGAGTCATCCCCATCTTTCCAGCCACTCCATCTTATGCCACATGTCAACAGAGAGTTCTCACCAAGAGCCTTGACCAAACTGAACACACACAAGCAGAGTACATTATTTTTTTTATTTATTTATTTTAGTTAGGTTATCCCTCTGTAGTTAGGCTGGTTTGGAACTTCCTATGTAACCTTCACTGGCCTTGAACTCCACTTTTTGATTCTCCCTCCTGCCTCAGTCTCCTGAGTGCTGGAATTACAGGTATTCATCTGGCAATGATTTTATTTTAAGCCACTGAATTTGGAATAGTTTGTTATAAAATAATAATACAACTGCCTAACTACATAAGTTCACAACTACAACTTGGACATGTACAAAAAGAAAAAAAAATTACTTACATTTTGACACATATTTTATATCAAGAAAATGCTCTGCACCACTCAAGACTGCAAATGATTTATCGAGATGAAACATTAGATTTTTTAAAGATAGTCAACTATTTTTTATTCAAGTAAAAACATGAAAAACTACTTTTCATATCCTCATCTCCTTCACTTACCTATCCTAAGTGCAGCGTCTGGGGATTGCTGGCCCAACAATTTTCCAGTCTACAGATATGAATCAAGATCTTGGTTTGCAACAGCAGTTCTGCTGACACTCTGGAAGTAGCTGCTTAATTCCCAAATCTGAAATTTTCAAGAAAACGAAATCCTAAATATAAACACTTCCTTTCAATTTCAAACACTTGTAATTCTGCTTCTATAACTGAATGGGGATTGATGGTATCTGTTAAGGTACACAGAAGTAAAGGCACAGGCTTCATTAAAAATGGAGTTGGAGCGACACAGCACCTGCCTAGCAAGTTCAAGGCCATGAGCTCAGCCCCCAGTACAAAAAAAAAAAAATAGAGTTGGACAAGTGGATTCAGGTCCCAGCTACACAAGTTCTTTCATTCTTAATCCAATCATGTGGCAAAGGTTGAAGGCACAGAATCAAAATTTTGAACTGAGAGTCAGAAGACCAAGTTCAAATTCAATTATATTTCTGCCTTGCTATGAACTCAGATGAGCTCAGTTTTATCATCTATAAAAGCAAAGGATTTAATTAGATAGTGTTTCCTGAAATCCAATCCCTATACAGGTGCCAACCAGAACAAAATAATACGTATAAAGTTACCAACTGTGCTTACTATGAGGCTGTCCCTTCTACTTGAGGTCACAATTGCCCTTTAATGAGATGTAAGAGGTTTTTTAATAGTGTCAAAATAAGATTATATAAGTAACCTGAATTCTTAAGATTCTAATGTCTATCTGACCTACATGAGCTCTAAAATTCCTTCTAACATTCCACACTGTTCAACTAATATTTATTAGGTACCTAATACATGACAGGGGCTAGTAGCTGGAGGTTGTAGGAATAAAACTAGTCCTTGTGGTAAAAAGCAAAAATAAAAACCTCCCTATCAAAAGGAAAACAGACACATAAACCTCCAATATAATATGTTAGGCCTCATCTTAGAGACTATGAAACCTACAAAACTTATGACACATGGGAAGAATGGTGGCATGACTTAAAATGTAGTAGGAGCCTAAGGGCATAGCTCGGTGGTACAGCACTAGTAGGTGTGAGGTGCTGGGTTTGCTCCTTAGTGCCTCAAAAACATAAAATTTTAATAGGATTTTGGAGCTAGTTTTGTAGTTGCACGAGTTATCTAACCTCTTTGAATCCTAATTCCTTATCTGCAAAACAATAGTGATTGCAGATACTGTATCACAGAGTTATGGTAAACTGACAAGATGCTACAAATACAAGGACAGTCCCTCAAGAAATCAATTTAAACTTCTCATAGAAGACAAATAAAAAATTTATCATTTCACATAGCAGTCAGTACTCTCCTAGCACTGAGGCAGGAGGATCATGATTCCAAGTCAGCCTGGGTTACACAGCAAGTTCAAAGCCAGCCTGGGCTATATAATGAGACCCTGTCTCAAATGAATTTTACCATATATCAGGCACAGTGGCATGCGCCTATAGTCCTAGCTAATCAGGAGGTCGAAGCAGAAGACTTGTGCCCAGGAGGTCAAGGCCAGTCTGGACAACACAGTGAGACCTCAAGTCTAAAATAGTCAAACAATTTTACCATTTTAATAAGAAGCTAGTACAAGGGAGTGTTAATAAAAAATACTTATTTAAAACATTGTAAAACTCAGGAGTGCCTTTCTTCACTAGCTTCTATAGAGTGTAAGGTCAGAATTAAACTTGGTCCATTTTATATTCCTAGCCTCTATTTAATGACTAATAAATTACATGTATCAATTGTTTATTTAAAAGGACTGAAAAATAATGAATGGCTTCTCCATTTTATAGTAAAGTTATAGTATCTAAAAGTGAAAACTATTAGGGTATTTATTCAAAACTAAATTTTAGTGTGTATTTTAAGTAGTTGTACGTATATTAGAATCTGAATTTGCATATACCTATTTTAAAAAGCCAAAAAATTCACCACAGTTAATGCAGCAGTACTACTCCTGAATATAACTAGCAGAACTAACAGTTTCTGCAGTTATTTGCCAAAATCTCTTCTAAGCATTCTCTGTAGATTATCTCATTTAATCCTGGCAACGTCAGCTCGGAAGAACATGGTGGATAGATAGCAGCAGCCTCTGAGGCTCTCTTGAGAAACCGCACTTGAAATCCAGGAATTGTGCAGGGCAGGAAGTCATAGGCAAGGGGGGATATTCTTTGCTGACCCAGGAACGAACTAAATTAAGAGAAACCAACTAGAAACGCAATCCCAGTGATACAGCAGGAACAGATAAGGTCTCAGCACAGAAGCTGGACCTCGCACCACTGGAAACTGCTATCTGAATTTCCTGCAGCCCTTGTTGTGTCCCGGTAGGCACAGCAGGGAGAGAGGCGCGAAAACTCAGAGAGTGGGAAGCGGTGAATGGAGTTGGGAGCGGGGCTGGCCGGGTGACCTGCATCGACCTGTGGTGAGAGAGCGGATCCGGACCCTTCCATAGAGAAGGAGGCTTCAGTGGAGGGCATACTTGGACCGGGCAGACTTCCTGGAAGGAGATGCTGTAGTGACTTCAGTCACATATCCCCCTCTCAAGCGGGATTGGTGGGGAGTGCCTGGCTTGCAGACACTGCTGGCTGAGATCCAGTAGGCTGGCCCAACCCAGGTACCAGTGCCTGGAGGTACACCCTAGAGGTGAAGCCTTCGGTAGGTTGACCTGGAGGGATGGCCCGGCATAGTCTCCCTGGTGCACTGCGGTAGGCAGGAACACCCAGGCAGCGCCATTCAAACAGACTGTGGCCGACAGGGAAGGAAGCTGGGCCTCCTATATACGCTTATATATAAGGAACAAAGAATATGGGAAGAGGGAGCAACAAGAAAGGGTCCTTGGCCCCCAATCCTGAGAAACATGCAATAGCAGACACGGCACCAACAGACATAAAGCGCTATCTCCAGAGCCTCATAGACGAGTTCAGGAATGAAGTTACTAATGACCTGAAGCAAGACATAAGCAGAATAGTTAACAGAAATGCTAAGCACTGCTCAAGAAAAAACAGATGGTAGAATGGAAGAACAGAAAAAAAGGGGAGAATTGTTTGATGGAGAAAATAAAGAAAGCATAGAATACGTGAAGCAGGCTCAAAGAAATTACCAGGAAACTAAAAACTCTATCGTAAACTGGCATAACAGATTGAAAGAAACTAAGGATAGATTATCTGACCTGGAGGGCAGATTTGTAATATGGGAGCATGAAATGAAAAACTTCTTAAAAATAACAAAAAAACAAACAGCAACAATATAAAAGCTAGATGATGATAAGAGGATCTATAACTTAAGAATTAAAAGCATAAGAGAAGTGGGAACACAAACAAATGGACTACAAAAGCTATTCACAGAAATAATCCAAGAGAATTTCCCTAATTTAGCAAATGGTAAAGATACTCAGATGTATGAGGCATACAGGACTCTAGCCACCTACAACCCAAACAGAGCTACACCCAGGCATATAATAATCAAAATTCCAGAAATCCAATATAAGAACAGAATATTCAAAGCTGTCAGAGACAAGAAACAGATCACTTATAAGGGAACACCCATCAGAATTACAGCAGACTTCTCGGCACAAACTATCCATTCACAAAGAGCATGGGGGGAAATAATTCAAGCTTTGAAAGATAATAACCTCCAGCCAAGATTGATATATCCTGCACAACTGTCCCTAGAAATTGATGGAAAAACAAGGTGCTTCCAGGATAAAGAGGAACTAGGGGAATTTGCAACCACTAATTCAACTCTACAGAGAATACTGCAGGGTAGTCTAAAAAAGGAAAATACCAAGATTCCAGAAATAGTGGCAGAGAGGCCACAATGAATGGAGCAGAAAACAAAATGAGGAAGACAAACTGACAACAAACGACAGAAAAAGAGTTCAACAGAAATGAGGCAGAGAAGATCGGATGGTAGGAACAGCTATTTTGGAGAAAACAAGACATCATAATAGCTAGCGCTGATTTAGTATCATCTTGTTTTGAAGTCCCATCAAACTTGTATTCTTCTGTCTCCATCGGTCTTAAAAGGTTGTATCTTATTGGATTTTATATGATAATATAAGCAAAAACTTTTGATAGACAAGGAGTTTATATAGAAACCATTGTTCATTTTCTGTTAATTGGTCCTAAATACCCTATAATACTGTCATTCTCTTGAATGGTTTTATAGTGTCTTGATATGTTTGGTGCTACAGTATACAAAGATATACTCAAAGATTTCAAGGAGAGACACTATGGTAACTATTTTTATGTCAGGATATCTTGTGGTGAAACAATATTTTGCTTAAATGGCTATGATTTGACCTGCACTGTTTTGATGTTATGCCCTCTTTTATCTCAACCCCCTTTTTTTGAATTATTTACTTTTTTCTTTTTATTTTTTTAATTAAGGGAAAAATAAATAAAAAATAGGATACATTATAGTAACCTACTTTGATTTCCTATTAACTTGATTTGAAATCCTGTATTGCCCTCACCATCTTGTTTTGACTGATTTTCCTCTATTCTGCTTTGCTTGATAGTACCAAGTTCGAAAGTATAGGCATAACTGTGAAGACAATAAGAATCATTATGACACCCATTCCGGTTGACTATTATCTTCTTTTAAAATCCTGTAAGGTCTCCAATGCTTTGGTTTTATTCTTTACTGTTTAGTTCAATTTTATTATAACTGCCAATTCTTCTTAAAATAGCAAGAGGCAGTATGGTAACCATTGTTGATCACCTTATATTTTGTTTTTACATTATCTATTATGTCCATCCTTTTGATTTGACTGACTCTATTCTGGTATGTCGCATTTGGTTTTACTCTCTTCAAAAAAAGTAATAAGAACTGTGGGAGTAATAAAACCCAAAATGTGTAATTGTCATTGTACAAAAGAAAAGAAAAGAAAGCGCTTTAAAGGTTATAACTGCATATATGTTTAAGTGTATAAGATAGATAACCATATTACTGAGTGTTTTTTGGATCATTGAACAAAACTGATTGCACTTACTGTTTGAAAGTCCACTTTATATGCTTCAATAATGTAACTTGAACAACTTATTTCTAAGATGAGAATATGTAATCTATTAACTAGTGATTTCTTACTGTTTACTTTTTAAATTTTGTATTACTTGTACCCTTTTCCTGTTTTTTTTTTTTTCCTTTTTCTCCTTAAAAAAAAACATCCTGGCAATGTCCCTTAAGAAATGGACTACTGTATTAGTATTCTCAATTACAACTAGGAAAACTAAGGGACAGAAGAGTCAACTACTTCCTAAGACCACAAAACTACTCAATGGTGGAGCTGAGATTAAAAAATAAAAAAATAAATGAAGCTACCTTATACTAAATAAAGTACCTCTTTTTTGAAGTTTTTAACTAAATAACTTTATTTTTTAAAAATCTGATTTTTTAGAATTAGGAACATTTGTTCCAAAAGATTTTCTCTTTTTCCAGAACAAATAGTAATTATGTGTGCTAAACACACATACATGATATACTCTTTACCCTCAAAGATCCTTCAACATGGGTGATATAACACCAAGAAGTCACATCTTAGTTCAGTGGCAGAACACTTCCTTAGCACACAAGAGCTCAAGTTTGAATTTCTACCACAGGGCAGGAAAAAGTCACACCATAATTTTACTATTTATCCTTTAAATACTCTGGTGTGGGGCTGGGGATGTAGCTTAGTGGTAAACCACTTGCCTAGTAAATGCAAGGTCCAAGGCTCAATCCCCAGCACAGCAAAAAAAAAAAAAAAAAAAAAAAAAAAAAAAAAGTATTAAATGTTCTGGTATTATTAAATGTTTTGATATTAGATTTATCTGTACTTTCTTTCTCTTTTACTATAATTCCAGGTTTCACTATCATTAATTTTCAGAGTATACAGGAAGGCTTATATGCTCATAAAGGAAAAAATAAGTTAACAACTGAGAAGTATTAAGAACTATCTACTTTCATATAATGACATTTGGGAAAAAAAGAACAGCTGGATTTCATTTTTGATAGATGTTTTAACAAAACAACTTCAGATGTAATTTATGAAATGTATTTTTAGCCAACAATGGGTTTTAGTTCATCTGTTCATTGGCCTGATTCTTGAAAAAACTAGTATTTTTTTTATGTCTGACTTTCAATTTTAATAGTTGTTGTAAGACAGAACTAAACACTAACAAAAACAGAATAGGTGTAGCAAACATAAGAAACCACTTTACAAAAGAAAACATCTGACATTTAATCAAAGTAGTCAGTATAAGTAAAGCAACATTTAAAGTTCTAAAATTACATTTCACAATCTTCTAGCAGTGCATTTCACATCTTTCTGCCTCCATGACAGCACAATAAATGAAGTGTCCTTACTGCCTTAAAACTTTTCAAAAAAACCAGTTTTTCAATGACACTAGTCAAAGAGACATAAATTATGAGGGTTAGTACTCAGTATCTTATGATTAGAGAAAGTTAGGTGTTATATTAAGGAAATATTAAAATTATTTCCAAAATAGTATCAGAAAGTAAAAGAAAAAAACTAAATTTCTAAAAGCACAATAGGAAATGTCCAACTAAATAAATGGCTGCTGATTCAAAGATCTGGCTTGCCAAATTTTTCCCTATGGTTAAATATTCACTGGTCACCGTAACATTTTATACCACCTCTCAGATTAAGAGCCTTCCACTAATTCTATGAAGATAAAGGAACAATACCCAGACTCCTCACACTCCAAGTATTTGCCACTGGGGGAACAACTCAGAAAACAGCAACTTTAGCATAACATTTAAGCTTTATTCAGACCTGGAAAACAAATACTATTGGCATATTCTCTACACAGAATATGCTAATAAAAAAAATTGTCTAAAGAAAGAAAATTCCTACTTTCTTCCTAGAATCACTATGCCAAGTACAATAAGTACAGAGTAGGGGAAACATCCCCAGTTGCAAATTAAGTCATCCTAGTTTAGTTAATACTTAGCTCTTATAAATTCTAATTATCTGACTAGATACTTACTTTTATTATACCTGAAGATCCTTTTCTCTTTCCCTCCAAGATTCAGCATGTCAGCCCCAGTACCTTTTCAAAGGTTTCAGACCCATTCACCATCCAACTTCAATTGTGGATGCTATTCAAAAAATAGGTGTTCATTACTTTTAATATCCCTTTTTAACATATGAACATTAATAGATCTTATAGTTTTATTTCACCAAGGTCAAGTGTAATCTGCACCTCCCAATTCCAGGCCTGTACTGATAGCTCCAAACAACTCTTCTCAAAATTTCAGTAGGATATGCTTATTTTCTCTTAATTATATACTGTATCATTACTCAAAGTGTGGTTCACAAGCCAGTAGCATCAACACCACCTGACAGCTTACTAGAAATGCAGAATTTCAGATCCTGCCCTAGACCTACTTGAATGAGAATCAGCATTTTAACAAATCCTAAGACTATTCAAACCCATAGAAAATTGTGAGAGGAGTTACCCAGTTTACTCATCCAGAATCTCTCTGTGCTTTATAGTTCATTTCCTATCTGGCATACAAGGAACCAAATTATTTTTCTCTTGAGCACATTGAGATTCACCAAAATAAAACGAAGAATCTTTAAATAAAGGCATGATGGCACATGCTTTTATTTCCAACACTAGGCAGGCTGAAGCAAGATGATCTCGAGTGTGAGGCCAGCCCAGGCAACACAGCAAGTTCAAGGTCATTTCTTGCATACTACAAGACAAGACACTCTCTCTCAAAAAAAAGCTCTGCATGACTTTCTTTCCAAACAAGATCATAAACTTTATAAATCCTTAAAACTAAAACAGTATCAAGGCAAATATTTATAGAGAAAACAAAACAGATACCACATGATCCCTAAAAGTTTTCAACTCTTAAATCTTTGGCTCTTACATTTGCAAAATTCTATCTAGCTGTAATGAGATCACTATGATTTATAAAATTAAAAAATATTACTTCAAATAACTGGATCAAGATCAAAAGACAGACTCACTATTAAGTTCATAAAGCTAACACTTTTATATTATTTCAATACTATGATATCAAATCAAATGAAAGCATCAGATCAAATGACAATAACATTTCTTTCACATATGTACACTATTATCCACATATGTACAATGCATGTATGTACATTTGCATTGAGGTGTGCACCAGGAGCTGAAGGAAACACAAAATGTGCTTTCTACTAGAAAGAGTCTGTATATAAAGATTACAAGGTATGATTAATTTGTTTAAAACCAAAACAAGTGAATGCTTTCTCAATTCTTATCTATGTCAAACTGAAACAGGTAAAAGAAACAAAAGGCAAAATATGGCAAAAAGCACTAGAGATCAGACACAGCAACATAATAGAGAGGAAAACAAATATTGTAAAATTCAGGAATATGATTTAGACTATAAAAGGCAAAGATGGTTAATATGGAAATACCAATTAAAGTAACATCTACTTCAATAACCTCTAATTAAGGTAAACCATGCCAAGAAATTTTTAGAACAAGCAAATTCATTCTCCCATCTACCATTACCTTTTGTATCTAGTAAGGAACAAGAAAATAGCACCTCTACCTCTTAGAGATCAATAAAAAGCAATTACTACAAGCTTAGTATGTATTTTGTTGTCTATGACAAGTGTTCATTTAGAAGAATGCTTATGAAGATTTTCATTTTTAAAAATTGGTTAAAATAAAGTCTTGGCTCCTCATTTCTTTTCTTTTCTTTTTTTTTTTTTACTTAGGGAGAAAAAGAAAAAAACAGAAAAAGGTATAAGTAATACAAAATTTAAAAAATAAACAGTAAGAAATCACTACCTCATTTATTTTCTATACCTCATTTTCCCTGCTTGCAATAATGATTAGTCTGAAAATTTGATGTAACCAATTCATGTGGAATTATTATGGGGAATGGGAAAGAGTGCACGGGGGACTGAACCCAGGGCTTTTGCACTGCTTATTCATGCCCAGCTCTTTATTTTTAATTTTGAAACAGGGTCTCACTAATTTGCCTTTAAGTTGGGCTTCAAAGTGTGTGATCCTCTTCCCTCAGCCTCCAAGAATATTGATATTACAGGTATGCTGAAGATGTTTATTTCTAAAAAAATTTTCCTAGGCTTCCAATTTTATGCAGGAAAAAAATGTGGAATTAGGGTAGGAAATGACTATCATAAAAATCCAAAATAAAAATCGCAAAAAAGACTACTGTATTTAACTATAAAAATATGAAAGTCCACATTGCAAAAAACATTATGAAGAAAATTAAGAGATATGATAAATTGGGAAAATATTTAAAATATAAGACATAGATTTAATAGCCTTCATGTATTAAGTAGATCTCAAAATAGTTTTTTCTACAAAGAAAGCAGAAATACAGGAGCACACAACTGACAAAAGAAAACCATACGTATAAGATGTTCAACCTCATTAAGAATAACCAGAGACTTAAGTGTCATATCAAATTGACAAACACTAGAAAGATCAGTAATGCCTAGGACTGTATAAGGTATGGAGAACTTGACACTCACTATTATCCAATAATCACATAGTAGTACATAAGCTTTCAGGAAAATAATCACACTTAATAATATGCTTATCCTTTGACCCAATTTTTGGAAATTTAAACTTAAATAACTAAGAGCACAAATATGCACATCGTGCATTATATAATCTGTTCCCGTAAACTGTTTAGAAAGTCTCTACGTGTGTGAATCTCTACATGTATATCTATCCTTTCTGTATTATAGGGAAAAACAGATCAAAACAAGACAACAAAACAAATTCCTAGAAAAACATGAGACGAAAAAGACATATAAAGCCACAATATTAGGTCATCTACAGTAGTTACTATGCTTTCTCTTGTTTGTTTTCAATAGAACTGTCTACATCATCAGACATAATTGAGCATAGCATTACATAGCAATTTTAATAAAAACACAATGTTGGAGACATTGGAGACTTCAAAAGCAGTTAATAATTAAACCAGAATGGGTATCTTACTACATTGTCATCTTCAGAGTAGTTGCCTCTACTCTTAAGACTTGATACTATCAAGCATACCAAATTCAAATAAAATCAGTCAAGACAAAACAGCAGTCTAACAAACCAGCTTCAAATAAGGTTAGCCATAGTAAGACAATGTAAGTAATACAGGGCTTCAGTTTAAGTTAATAGAAAATTAAGGATAGTTACCGTAGTATAGCCTGCTATTTTGGGGATAGCTGTGCCCTCACACCCTAGTATGAGTAGACAGACTTTAATAAAATAAAATCAAACTAAACAGAGCGATAAAACTAATGTGGTTTTTAAATCCTGATACACTATTAACAATGTCCTCTGCCTTCCTTTTTTAGGCAATTCCTCACCTTTTCCTCTCTCAGGATGCTTTTTATATTTTGGGTCCCTCTAGCTCCTTTAGTTTTTAGATTGGGGGGCAATCCATTATCTGAGTGGTGCTGAACCTTTTTACCCCTGAGCTTGATCTTAACTAAAGCTTGATCTTGATCTTTACTAGCTTGATCTAACCGAGTTTGATCTTTACTAACTAAAGCCACAAGGTTTTCCTTCCTTCTAGCTGAGTAGTTCTCCACTGCACAAAAGTGTCATAACTTTCCAACCTATCTGCAGCTAGTTACCTGGATAAGTTGTACCTATTTCTCTCTGGTTCTGTCACATAGAGCATCGTTTTCTCATCTTTGACTTCCAGTTTATTAATCCTCTTTCAGGTTGAGTATATTTCCTATTCAGAGCATCTCGATGGATTCTGCCTCCTACTCTACTCTGCCTGTTTCTTTTTGTTAGTGTATCAAGGCTATCTATATTAGAGATTATAGCTCACTTTCTCTGCTTCATCTCTGCTATTCTATTTTTCTGCTATTATTTGTCCACTTTTCTCCTTCATTCCACTGTCTGCCCCGCTCATTGAGGCCTCTCTGCCACTGTTGCTGGAATCCTGGTAATTTTTTTTCCTCTCTCTCTCTCTAGAATGTCCTTCAGTATTTTTTGTAGGGTTGTATTAGTGGCCATGAACTCCCACAGTTCCTCCTTGTCTTGGGAACATCTTGTTTCTCCATTAATTTTGAGAGAAGAGTTTTTCAGGGTACATCAATCTGGATTGGAGGGTATTTTCTTTCAGGACTTGGCCTACTTTCCCCAGGCTCTTCTTGATTTGATAGTTTGTGTTGAGAAGTCTGTCGTTATTTTGATGAATTTTCCTTTATAGGTGATCTGCTTCTTTTCTCTGGCTGCTTTTAATATTCTGTTCTTGTGGTGGATTTCTGAGATCTTGATTATTATATGTCTGGGTGTAGATCTGTTTTTGTTGTAGTTGGTTGGAGTTCTGTATGCATCATTTATCTGGATATCATTTCTTTTTCCAATGCTTGGCAAGTTTTCCTTAATTATTTCTGTGAGTAGCCTTTGTAATTCATTTGTGGTTACTCCTGCTTCTTCACTCACATTTTTTATTCTTAAGTTATAGATCCTCTTGTCATCTTCTAGTCTTTGAATTGTTACTTCCTGCTTCCTTGTTTTAAGAAGTCTTTTCTTTCATGATCACACATTGCAAATCTATCTTCAAGTTTTGAAAGGCTGACTTTAGTTTCTGTCAAGGCATTTTGCCAGCTTTCAATGGAGTTTTTAATTTCCTGGTAATCTCTTTGGATCCAGATCTCTTTGTATTCCAGATTTTGTTTATATTCTTCACCAAAGGTTTCTCTTCCTCTTCTGGGTTCCTGCATTCTTCCATCTGTGTCTTCTTGAGAGGGGCTTAGCATTTATTTTATTAGTCTTTTTTTTTATCTTGCCTCACTTGGGTTAGAATTTCAGTTTTAAGTTCATCTATGAGATCACAAAGGTATTTCTTTATGTCCGCTAATGTTGTGGCCAATATTGCATGATTGCTGCACTGGTCCTCTTCTGTATTTACCTCTCCTGGACTTATTTTCCCAGGGTCAGCAGCTGTAGGTTTTTTCTTTTCTTTTTTTTTTTTTTTTTTTTTCTTGTCGTGTTTCTGGTTTCTTTCAGACAGGTGTGTGGTAGAGGTCTCAGGCCCTGTTTGTATTGCTTATGGTTTTTCCGAAGTGCGCTCGCTGGGGTTTTGCTGCCCTCTGCAGATTGCTG